CCATGGGATCGGGATCGGATCCATGGGATCGGGATTGGGATCGGGATCAGAGCCATGGGATTGGGATGAGATCCATGGGATCGGCATCGGGATCAGAGCCATGGGATCGGGATCGGGATCAGAGCCATGGGATTGGGATTGGGATCAAGATTGGGATTGGAATCAGGATCAGGATCAGAGCCATGGGATTGGGATCGGGATTGGGATTGGGATCAGGATCAGGATCAGGATCAGGATTGGGATCAGAACCATGGGATCAGGATTGGGATCAGGATCAGAGACAGGAGATCAGGATTGGGATCAAGATTGGGATTGGGATTGGGATCAGGATTGGGATCAGAGCCATGGGATCGGGATCATGTTGGGACCCCTGACTGACCGATATGCTCATGAGTGACCCCTGAGTGACCCTGAGTGACCCTGAGTGACCCCTGAGTGACCCCTGAGTGACCCCTGAGTGACCCCGAGTGCCCACTGACCGATCTGGCNCCCTGAGTGACCCCTGAGTGACCCCTGAGTGACCCCTGAGTGACCCCGAGTGCCCACTGACCGATCTGGCCGTAGGCCATGCTGATGAGCCGCTCGTTGACCAGTTTGTCGCTGCGCGGGTTCCTCGGCTGCCGTTTCATGATGTCGCTCTCGGCCGCCTCGTAGGCCAGGGAGATGGCGGGGACCTGGGGGGACAGCGGTGTCACCCGGCGTCACCCGGCGTCACCCGGTGTCACCCGGTGTCACCCGGCGTCACCCGGTGTCACCCGGTGTCACCCGGTGTCACCCGGCGTCACCCGGTGTCACATCCTGGGATGGTGGCAGTGCCCAGGGCCAGGAGGATCTGAGGTCTCTGGGGTGGATTTGGGATCACCAGGAGGATCTGGGGTCCCTGGGTGGATTTGGGATGGATTTGGGATTTTTGGGATGGATTTGGATTGGATTTGGGATGGATTTGGATTGGATTTGGGATGGATTTTGGGGTTTTTGGGGTGCCCATCACCATGTCAGTGCCCAGGTCAATGCAGAGGATGGTGATGGTACCCAGCAGCAGCGAGATTTGGGTTTGGGATGGATTTTGGGGTGGATTTTGGTGGATTTGGGTTTGGGATGGATTTTGGGGTGGATTTTGGTGGATTTGGGATTTGCTGGATGGATTTTGGGGTTTTTGGGTCCCTCACCATGTCGGTGCCCAGGTCGATGCAGAGGATGGTGACGGTGCCCAGCGGCAGCGGGATGTTGGCGATGATGAAGAGCAGGAACGGGGTGATCTCGGGGATGTTGCTGGTCAGGGTGTAGGCGATCGACTTCTTCAGGTTGTCGAAGATCAGGCGGCCTGCCAGGGGACATGTCCCCAGTGTCCCCAATGTCCCCAGGGTGTCCCCAAATGTCCCCAGTGTCCCCAGTGTCCCCAATGTCCCCAGGCTCCCAATGCCCCCAAATGTCCCCAGTATCCCAATAACCCAAACACCCAAAAATGTCCCCAATGTCCCCAGTTCCCAATCCCTCCAATGTCCCAAATGTCCTCCATGTCCCCAAAACCCCAACATCCCAAACACCCACAAATGTCCCCAGTGTCCCCAATACCCCAATGTCTGCAATGTCCCCAACATTCCCAATACCCCAATAATCCCAAACATCCCCAATGTCCCAAACATCCTCAATGTCCCCAATGTCCCCAAAGTTGTCCCAAACATCCCCAATGTCCCAAATATCCACAAAGTGCCCAATGTCCCCAATGACCTTGAAGTCCCCAACATCCCCTATGTCCCCAGTACCCCAAAATCCAAAATACCCACAATGTCCCCAATGTCCCAAATGTCCCCAGTGCTCCAATGTCCCCAATGTCCCCAATGTCCCCAATGTCCCCAACATCCCCAATGCTCCAAATATCCCAAATATCCCCAGTGTCCCCATGTCCCCAGTGCCCCCAATGCCCCAAGTGTCCCCGATGTCCCCAATATCCCCGATGTCCCTAATGCCTCCCAATGCCCCCAGTCCCCCCAACACCCCCCACGTCCCCCATGTCCCCAAGCCCCTGCGCCTGTCCCCGACCTTCCTCGACGCCGGTGACGATGGAGGCGAAGTTGTCGTCCAGCAGGATCATGTCGGCCGCCTGCTTGGACACGTCGGAGCCGGCGATGCCCATGGCGATCCCGATGTCGGCCTTCTTCAGCGCCGGCGAGTCGTTGACGCCGTCACCCGTCACCGCCACGATGGCGCCCTGGGGACGTTGGGGACATTGGGGACACTGGGGACACTGGGGCTTTGGGGGCTTTGGGGACACTGGGGACACTGGGGGCATTGGAGACATTGGGGACATTGGGGGCTTTGGGGACATTGGGGACACTGGGGACA